AGCAACAATTGTGAGGATGCGCAAACTGGGCGGTGTTTTGTTCTGTTGTACGTTTCTGTGATTTGGAAGGAACTAGATGGTACCTAACAACAACAACAACATCAACCCTAGAGCCAGTAACGTACACTCCCTTTCCCTCTGACCACTGGTAAACATCCAAGAATGTTTTTTTTTTTAGTGTGAAAACCTTTTCAGGACTTTTTACAATTGTGGTCTCACACAATATTTGTTGTTTTGTGATGGATTGATTTCAGTCAGTAAGCCTGTCAGGTTTAACCCTATCATCAGGTTTTTCAGGCCTCGTCACTTTTCTTTCGTGTTGCATAATATTCCATTGTGGGTATGTACCATAGTTTCGTTCATCCAGTCTTCCCCTGTTGGGCATGTAGGGTTCCTTCTTTTTGCTAGTATACAAGTAGCATCTGGCCATGGACATGAATGTGCATGCATCTGTCTGGGTTCCAGTTCTTATTTCTCTAGGAACTTTTTCACGTAAAAGGGTTTCTAGGTCATCTTATATTTCTATTTCCAAGTTTTTAAGGCAATGCCATACAATTTCCATAATGTTTGTTCCATGTAGCAATCCCGCCAGCTGTGTATGAGGGTTCCAGTCTCTTCACACCCTCTCCAGCATGGCTGTTTTCTATAGTTTTGAAATGTGCTATTAATGTGGAGGTGACATTAAAGGTCATTGTTTTTATTTGCATCTCCTAATGGCTAATGATCGCAAGTATCTTTCCATATGTTTGTTGGCCACCTGAATTTCTTCTTTGGTCATGTCTTCTGCCCATTTTTTAAATGCTTGTCTTTTCCTTGATTAAAGTTTTTCTATACATTTTAGAGATTAGTCACTCATCTGATAGGTCATTGCCAAAAATTTTTGAGGGTTCTCTGTAGTTTTTTTAAAAACAAGGATGGAGAGATTTTGTCTCATGTCCTGTGGATATGTTATCCAGGGAGACAAGACCCTGGAAAAGGACCTTAGACTTGGCAGAGGGGCAGGAAGACCCTCAACAAGATGTCTGCAATGGTGGGCTCAAACATAACAATTGAGGGGATAATGCAGGACCAGGCAGGGTTTCATTCTGTTGTACATATAATTGCTATCCATCTACCAATCGTAATGAATGGCATGTAACCACACACATGCACCCCCCAACCGGGGGAAGAACAACAGAAGCCAGAGGAGAAGGGGAACAGCAGTTGGTGTGAGATATGAAAACAATAACAACCTATAATCTCTCAAGGGGTCACGAGGGTGGGGAGGGGAAAATAAAGAGGAGCTGATCCCAAGGGCTCAATAGAAAGTAAATGTCTAGAAAAGAACGATGGCAAGATTGTAACAAGAGTTTTAGAACGATGGCAAGATTGTAACAAGAGTTTTAAGAGCCCCCAATAAAATAATATTTTAAAAAAGAAAGTAAATGTCTAGAAAATAATGATGGCAACATATGTACAAATGTGCCTGATACAATGGATGTATGGATTGTTATAAGATCATTTATTAAAGTGACCTTTTCATAAACAGAAAATTAAAAAATTGCTTTGCATTGAACTGACTCGATGGTGTCTGTGTTAGACAGGGTTCTCTAGAGAGATAAAACCAAATTCTTGATAATATAATATATTTATTTATAAAGGTAATTAATATATAACAAGAAATGAAATGTTAAATCATAAAGATAATTAGATATATAACGAGAAATGAAATGTTAAATCATA